AAAATATTAATTTAAAATATAATAAATTATAAAATAAATTTCTGAATGAAGAATTTTAGTAAAAGATTGAAATATTTGTAAATATATTTCAATTATTCACCTGTAAAAATTCAGAATTTAAGAACTTGATTTGTTCTTTGAGAGAAAACAGTTTATATTTTTTCACAACCTTTTGTACTTCACATCCCATGGAACACTCAACACATAAATAAAAAATGAAGCATAAAATGAAAATACTTTAAATTCATAATTTTATACAAGAAGTTTTAATGCACATTAACATGCCTCATTAGTTTGTAGACTCAATAACTTTAAAATCAATTCAACAATGTTTATATTTAATCATAATATGTAAATATATATATATATCTTTACATATTATGATTTTATGTATATATGTATACGTTTTTGTAAATTCACAAAAATATTTACATTATTTTCTAAAAGTTCTTATAAAAATACACAAAATTAAACGATTAAAACTCACTTTCTTTGTCACAATCAACTTTTCCCAATAAAAGTTTTCCTTGTTCCTTAAAAGAAATAAAATTATTATAAGTCTAGTCTTCTTTGTCATCATTGACTCCATCTAATACTCATACATCAAAACATTACTCTTATTAAAGGAGTCAGTTTTATTTGAGAGTTAAATGGTTGCGAAAATGCTGGTTAGAACATACTTTCAATTTTGGATGTACAAGTAGTTGCATGACACAGTTTTAAAAGGAATTTTTATTTTTTTAAATCTTAATTAAAATATGGACTCCTTTAATTAGTATAGCATTTTGATGCTATAAAAGTAAGTTATAAATTTTTGTTATAAAAGTTTATTTATTTAATTTTATATATTGTAATCATTTATTGAATTGAAACCAGGAATTTAACTATTCTAGCTTTTATAAAAATAGCTTCAAACAATATTAAAATTTGATGAATGCAAATATTCACATTCAGTTGGGTTCATTCCCAAACTATAAATAAATAATACATTAATATATCCTCTATTAGCTTGTCAGATCCAATATTTGACTGTAAATTTTGTTGCTAAATATCTGAAGTATGATATAACAATATTCCAGATTATTTTTAAATGTGATTTATAATACATCTGATTTATCAGTCATTAGACATAACTATAATGTACTTCCAATATTTGAGTGATTATGTATACATGGAAGAAATACTAACTACTCCATCAATGCTTGGCTGCTTTGTTACGCCAATTTATTCCAAAGTTTCTCCTTTATGGTACTGTCATGCAATTTTTCATCATTTGTGTGTACATTTCAGTTACCACCTACTTCACATCATCTCATAAATATTGCTCAAAATAAAAACAGTCATTCTTGAAACACTGCCTTTATTTTCAGTTTCTTCTTGTAAATCATGATGACGTAATCCCCTAATATCCTAGACTTTCTGTACATCAATTTATTTAATCCTCTTTAATCCATCAAATGTGTTTCAGATTTTTCACTCCTTCTTGATTGACTAAAATACACATTCTGTTTTTACATTATTATAATTTCATTAAAAATCTTAACATACCTTTTTTTAATGGATGATGTTATGTAAGAAAAAATTTGTTATTCTTAATCTGTATATAACAGTGACATACTTTATTAAAAAAGAAATGGGCATATTCAGTGCAGCTTTTTTCTTTCAATAGCAACAGTGAAAGTATTAACTAATATGACACAAATGTGAAATTATAAAAATCAAAAGAAGTAAAATTAAACAAAACAAATTATTTCTTTGGAGAAATAACATCTATCAGCCATGATACCAGCAATTATATATATGAGAATTTTTTATAATAATCAATCATGAATACGGCACTGCTAGAACCATGGAAATTCCTTATATTTTGCAAATGTAAAAAAGAAGTGTTAGTTCATTGCGATAAAATATAGCAGGTTGCAGTTATATATTTGGGCTAGCCAAGTATGTTAAGATAATTAATTATAATAATGCAAGGCAAATAAGTAGTGTTGGAAACCCCTTTTAAATACATTCAATTTTGCTAAATTAGCTTATGAGTTTATACAACACCTAAGTAGTATAGCATCACATTTTGCAATAGTTGCTATAGGAATTTTAATATAGTTTTTGTTATTTTATATATTTTACTCCATTTTAAAAAATTGTACATCTTAAGATGTCCTTTAGAGTTTAAATTTTTATATTTGAAAACTGGTTATATCAGTTGTTCCAAACAGAATAGTAAATTTGTAAGTTTAAATTGATGATTAACTCAAACAGTGCCAAAAACATTTCCTAAGTAAATAATCATTTGTATCTGAAAGAAGCAGTTATAGTTTATTTAATTGATTTTTAACCTTTTCTTTTAAATTGATAACTTCAATCTACTTCATTCCAAAACTATAATATATATATATATATAATATATATATAAACATCATAATAAAGAAATTGTTAAAATTCTAACTTCTTCCATCATAAAGTTATAAATATATTTATCCAACTTTATTAACAGAAATTTATTAAAGTTTTCAAATTCTTTAAGTAAAAAAAAAAACACTTGCTTTGAAGTTAAAATATCAGAACTGACACATCACAAATTTATTCTTTAACGAATTGTCTTTGTTATTTGAGAATATTAAATAAAAAATGCACTAAAATTTAAAGTACTCTTGCTCGATGTAATTTTATATATTTTATAGAAGATATGCTCAGTTAAATAATATCCTTGTTATATAATTTTTTAGATTAATATTTTAATCTAAATTAAATTACATTTTGTATATTCAGATATTAAAAACATTGAATTTTTATATTTCCAAAAAAGATATCATCAGAAGCTCTTAAGTGAGAACATTTTCTATTTTGTAAACCTTGTTTAGACAGCTAGGTGGACATGGATAAAGACATGACAACCTGTCACTTTATGATGCCAACATTCAAGATTCCATCAAATCTAGATACTTCTTGCTAATTCCTCACCATCCTCAGTATCCTTCGTAAACTTGATAAATACCATAATGCACATATAAATTAGGAATTCCTATTGCTAGTAGAGAGGAAAAATTTAAAACCTTGCCTTTAGATAAATAACTAAATTTCAGTGCTCTGAAGACTTCATTAATTAAAAACTATTTGGTATTTTAGCTATGATCTGTACTTAACTGTAAAAAGTAGTAAAAAAATATTTTATGATAAATAAAATAATTGTTACAAAACTTAAAATTTCTTTTTTATATAAAATTTATAATTAATTAAAAAAGAAAGTGGCGTTATTTAATCATCATAAAGGAAGCAGACTTCATATCATAATCTCCAAATTCAAGGTCTATATTTTTATTCCTATAAGATAAAAAGAAGTTTATTCTGTTCTCTATACATTATAATCTGTAAAAACATTATTGAATTTCAAATTTTCCACAAATGGTTAACACACACATACACAAATTGATTAATTAAGTTATTTGTTCTGATAAAACTACTTACAGGAAATTCTTGTTTTAATTTATCTGCAGTTTCATCAAACACCGGTGCTAAAATCTGACTAAATTTACACCAGTCTGCATAGAAGTTCAAAAAGACTAGTTCATGATTGCCTAAAAATTGAAGAAAAATGTGTACATATTTTGATGTATTATTGAGTAGTAATAAATAATTAGTAATTACTTCTAAATTACCAGTTAAAACTTAACTTGTTTTATACACATTAATCTATTAGTCTTTCTTCTAAATACAACCATCACTGTTTGTTTTATTTCATTAAATCTCCATTGCTCTTTATTAAACAACATGAACATTATCTTTCATTATATGACTAAGCATTATGACAAAATAATAATGTTTGAAAAAAAAAAACAAAACATGCTTCAAAAAGAAAATGAATGCCACCTAACTAAAATACAAATTAATGTACACTTTCTTATATATAAAAGAAAATTAATATAAAGTAAATTTTATTAGTTTAAAGCAGTAATGAGCAACCTTTTCTGGATGAAGGTTGCAAGGAAGCTTTGTAAACTTCCAATGGACTGCATATAGTTTTACTTATGAAGTTGCAAGCTTTAAACCTGCCAAGTACCAACATACTCCATAACCACTAGTACATCAGATGCTAAAATAATATATGCTAATAATGTGAAAAATAGTTTATTCTCATCCTTTCACCAGTCAAGTTTAGTTTGAATAACTTCCTAATTAGTGTTCCAAAATGGCATCAAATGAGAACAGGAAAGTAAAATTAATTGTTTAAACCTCAGAACCACATACTAGAAACTCACAGGCTGCATGTAACCCAGAAACTGAAAATTGCTCACAAGTGATTTAAAGGCTCGTTTATAGTCCAATTATAAAGTAAAGCCTCAAATTTTAGTTCTCACCAGAGAAATAAAGACCTAGTGTCATTCATAATCAAAATCTGAGTAAATCTAACTAGATAATATAATAATATTGATGCCAAACTTCAAAGACGAATGTTTTTGGATTTTAGAGTTGTTTCTACACCAGAATTCTTATTATAAACTACACAAAACAGGAGTATAGTAGCTCCTTGTTATAATGCACATGTAAGGAGACAAACCAAATAAATGATATATCAGATGACACGACAACCAATAGATCTATCAACTATTTTGTCTATTTCCAATCTCCACACAGACTTGCTTTTTTGTGAGTTATATTTTGTACACTGCTAGTTTCAATGCCAATTTTTGGAATAAAGTAATATTTCTTTGTCAGTAGAAATTCAATGCCAAGCAATATTTTAAAAATTATTGGCTAAAGCACTTTCATATTTGAAGACAAAATAACAACGATCTATCCAAACAAGTGACACAATGAGATATGATATAATAAGGAACTACTGTAATATATTTTAATGACAATGTAGTCAAAACTTACATTACAAAAAAAATCCAACTTTCTATGATAAATATTAGATTACAAAGATAATAAATATATAATACTAAGTCAATAGTTAATAATAATGGAAATGGTGTAATGTCAAGCACTGCTTGGTTTACACAGCAAACTTAAAATTCTCTAAGCACCAGACTACAGTTAGAGTGATAAATTCAGATATGATTAATCAACCTTTATAAGAAATACTTCAAACTCCACAAATTTTAATATTAATGTAAATAAAATTGATTTGATAGGTTACTTTAAGAGAAATTTAACAAAAAAATCTAATCAAAGTTAAAAACTATTAAATAAAGTAGATTTTACAATATTTAATACTAATAGATTAAATCCATAACAGTTGCCACTCTTAAAATTCAATTATATTTACCAACATGCCTATCAAAGTTTTCTGAAGTAAGAGCTACGGATCCACCCTCAGCAGAAGTCCAAAGGCACACCTGAAATATAAAATTCACTTTTGTTAATGAGAACATATTAAATAGCTTTTTATAATATTTTTATGTTTTCTAATGTAATTCTTAAGGAGAAATATTTAGTAAGATTCACACAAGTGCAATTAAAATTTTGTGTTTGACAAAGTAATTTTTTATTCTCTGAATTAACAGCAACTTTATCAATTTCAGAATGTTGTGCAATAATTTCTGTGAAGACTTCCTTCATATTACTCTGAATAAATGAAGACTTATGTAAGTTATCGTACAGAATCATTATAATTCAGAGGGTGCATTCTGTAAACAAACAACTACAAGTAATCACTAGTGTAACAAATTTCTGGCTTTATATTATATGGTGATATTAACCAGAATTTTTTACTTATTAATGTGAAATTAACTAAAATAATGAAGAAATTTAAATATTATAATAGTTCTTTTATATATTAACAGAAAATTTTATATACAATGCATTAAAATTCAAGTAAACTATAAATATCATATATAAACCATAACTTTTCTCAGATTAGATGCATACAATTAAGGCTCTTTTCTATTCTATGTGATAATGTGAAGTACATTTGAGATCAATATTTTCTTCCAGCTATTTCCACATTATTAACTAAAGTAATAAAAATTAAATTTATTGTAAGATAGTAGTATTCTTACTCATTTGTGCCATGTTATTTAATAGTATTTTTTTATAGTCTAAAAATATTTTATAAAACTCCAGCTGTTTATATATATAACTATATAAACAGATGGCTACAAGTCACAAATCTGTACACACAAAATGAGTGAGTCATCATATAATATATTCATTTTATGAGATGAATCAGAACTCTGAATAATATTGTATCAAAATGCAATTGATTAGTTTCATTCATTCATTTAAATTTTAATTCAGAGACTTAATCTGTTATATTAAGAAAGTCTTCTAGGGTGAATCAAAAACAGTAGAGTCACATTTCTAAAATGAACTTCAAAGATATACAAGGTTAGTGTAACATATTTGTATTTACAGTTCAGGTTTTACAACAGGAAGTTTTTGTTTTGTATTCTATTTTTTTATCAATGAAATTATGTCAACAAGCTTGCCATTTTCAAACTAACAATTGAAAAAAAGTTGATTAATTTTCCGTATTATGGGTTTTTCCATAAATTTAACAACAAAAGATAAAACAATAAATTATTACAGTGTAATTTTGAAAGGATATATTGGGCAATTAATGAATTATGAGTATGATAAATTAGACAAAAGTCCCTTTCTTGGTATAAAGGCATCTTGAAAGTCCTTTCTTCAGGCTGCACCAACCTGCTGAAAACATAGTCATTAGTTTATTTGAAATGATGCATATATGTCTTCCATAATGCCTACAGCAGTAACTAATGAAGATCCATTTTTTAAAACAGTCTGTTCCAATCACTGAATTTATTGTATTTAAAACATGAAGATAACCAATTAAGACTCAAACATTTGTCTACACATTGTCTACTTTTGCTGCTGAATTTTTGATTTTTGGTGTGTGTACTTATATACATTAAAAGTTTAATTTTTACAACTACTAGATAAGTTGTATATATCCAACATAAAAGCATTTGGTATTGCAATTCTAAGCTGAAGCATATGTAGTATACCATAATGTACTAAATTTCATATGTGCACTATATTTTAAAAAATGAATAAATCTATAAATTCTTAATTTTATTGATACATTACATGCAAAAGTACAAACAAAGCATACAAATTTTAAATAATTTTGCTATGCAACAGAAAGAATTAGAAGCACTACACTATGTACTACCCAAGAAATCAGTTACATGGATGGTATGGATGATCAGTTTCATGACTGATCATTCATTATCTTATCATACTGTTTAAGTATGTTTAAATTCTAATTCATAGTTAGGCTGGATTCTTACTACCAAATCCAATTCTGATGGTCCAAAATGCCAGTATACAGTTTAGTCAAACTGACAAAAAGATGAGACTATTCAACTATCCATCTGGTGCCAGAGACAAACACTTCACATAACTAAAATATTGTACATATTTCATATGTACAAGTATGTTCCAATCATGGTCAAATTGACAGTAATTTAAGAAAAGCAGCACTTTGTTGAATTTTGCTGTACATTCAAATATGCCAATGAATATAAAATGATCACAATTAGCATGGAGTGATTAATAATTGCTGATTATGCTTGTATATGATGTTACTATAAGCAAAAATATTATCTAGAATAACTGACCTTATTTATTTTTTAATGACTTTATAATATTAATGGAAGTTGTGACATATCATAAGAAAACATGATATTATAGAAACAAAATATCTATGGAGTACTATTGTATTTGTGCTCAGTTCATAGTCACCTGTTTACAAAAGTCTACAATTCTGTCTTCTGCACCATTTTAAAATATATTGTCACAGGAGTTTTATCTTGATATGCTGGTCCAGCAACAGACAGAAAAGTTAAATTAGACAAACAGTCTCTTGTTTGGCATAATGAAAATTGGCATTTCTTCTAGTCACAATGACAGCTATTTGGTTATGAAAACTGATTTCAGCAGTGCTATGCAAATTCAGTTTTATTCTGGTGTTAATAGGTCATCTTTTATACATTTGAAAAGAAAAACAACAACAAAACTGTCAGGATCTGTTTAAAAGCAAATGGAGAAATGTTTTTTATGTATTCATGTAAAAATATCAAGTTATGAAAAATGTCATTGATTCAGTTATTAGTGAATAATCATAAATTCCACTTACAGGGCAACTAATCAGCTCATATCATAACTAAATATGACGTTTTATCTGATCATAACAACAACGACATCTATATATATAACACATTCAACTGTCCATCTGTCCCGTAACCGTTTGAAAACGGACACTAGAGGCGCCCCTATCGTGTATCATATTTCAAACATTCAAATTAACAATTTTAATTCTTATTTAAATTAACAATATAAATTTTTATTATTCATTTTGCCAATAAATTATTATTTGGTCAATATAACAATATAAATAATTCAGTATATTTGTAATAGGAATTTATTATTTCAGGGGCTTATATCTCTCGAAGGGTCGCGAGTAGGGGTATGGCTCCTTTGACTTTATTGTTAATACAGGGGTGTACGGTTTGGGGGTTCGCCACCTCTTCATTCGGAGAGTAAATCTTACCATTGGGACTTTAACGGAACTGTACAGCATATTGATAGGAACAAAAAAGTCAAAGGAACCGTGCCTCATGGAAATTTGTAAATAACGCCCACTAGGGGGCGTCCCGGGCTACTAGTTTAATATATATTAAAAAGAAATAAATACTATTTAATTTTGAATTTTCTTACTTCTGTATGTGTACAGTATTAAGCTGTACACATACAAAAGTAGGAAAATCAAAATTAAATAGTATTTATTTATTTATTTATTATTTACTACAAAAATTAAATTCATACTGATAAACTGTATATAAATAGACATCATTAAATACTTTATAAATCATTAAAAGTATCTGCATTCATTGTGTTTTTATTTATTTAAAAATAAATCTGCAAGTCTAATAAAAACTCAATGTATACAAAAATATATGTTCTTATAGCAAATTTTTTTAAATATTTAGAGCCAAGTGATTCTGAGTCTTGTTAGCTCATGTTCAAGACATAAATTATTCTATAACACAAAACAACAAATGTCCAACATTCAAAATAATAATAGAAATTTAAAAGGTAAATACTGTTTTAAAATTTTGGGTTGAACATCTACTATTGATTTTTTTTGGGACACTATATCCTTATGATGTCACTTCCAGTTATTTGGAATTTTTGTTCTAAAAACATCAAAGTATCCCTATGGCAGTGTTCCACAACATTTTTCTACTCATGGCACACCTATGACTTGAGATGACTCAACACAAAACCAAAATGTTATTCCGCTCAATAACGTATGATATGATATTATTAATAGAATTTTGTAATGACATAAACCTATTATTATTATGTTGAGTTTTGTGAGTTACACTAGGTTGACACCAATGGCTGTGTACTATGCTGGACCAGAGTCAAGGCATAGTAACTTCAAAAAAAGACAAAAATTAAATAAGCACGTCATTGTGTGTCTGTATTCAGTAATTTCCTAACAATATGACATGTATTCAATATAGAGGCCTTCTGTAGTGTGATGTATGCATTTCTATTCAATTTTAATGTTCCCAGGCTTTTGTGTAGTGTTTGTGGTATGACACTTGTACAGGAGAGAACGACAAGTACAATAAGCACCCTTATCCATCCTCCACAGATGCCTTATTTCCTGGGTGAGTTCCGTGTAATTGCTGATTTTTTCACTGAATGCATTTTGTACATTGTGAGTGTTTGCAACGGATGTGTATAATGTATGTGATTTTATTGTGTTTGTCAATGAGTGTGATGTCTGGTCTGTTGTGGTAAATTGTTTTATCTATGATTATGACTGTTGTAGTACAGTTTGTGCATGTTGTTTTCCAATACTCTGTTGAATGTATTTGTAGTATGGTTTGTGGATGTCTAATAATTTGTGTTTCCTTGCAAGCTCTTGATATATTTGCTACTTGATTATGTCTATGTAAAATATGTCTTTGCAACCAGAAGTGATGTGTTGCCATAGTTTCTGGCATAATGTGACATTTTCTACATGTGTCATTTGTGAGTGTTGTATCTTTGAGTATGTGTTTTCTGTAGTTTTTAGTATTTATGACCTGATCCTATATGGCAATCATAAATCCTTCCATCTCCCGAAAGAGGCATCCCCGAGCTAACCAGCTATTTGACACAGTTTTGTCAACAGAATCCTGGGCTAGGTCATAGGGATGTCTGCCATAGAGTGCCTTTTGAACCCATGATTGCTTAAGTGTCTATGCTTTTTATATGTTCTGTCTTGTCCATATGATGCAAATGTAAGTTTAATGGTGATTTTATTTGAGTCTGATAGAGTTATTGCTTTATCTGTGATGTTTCTTGCTTTGTAGAAAAACTCTTGCAGTTTGTAATGAAGGTTTACTATGTCAATCAGGCCACGTCCGCCATCTTTATGCAGAAGAGTTAATCTTTGTGTGGTAGATTTAGGATTATGTTGTTTATGCTTAGTAAGTGTTGTTCTTGTTTTCATTTGGAGTTGCTCAAGATCTGTGTGAGTCCAATGTATAACTCCAAAAGAATAAGTGAGTACTGGACGACATATGTGTTTATTGCTTTAACATCATCTTATTTCATCAGTAAATGAAATACAAGCATAAGAAACACAACTGCAATAAAAATATATAAATAAAACTTGGAATTAATAGAATATGTAAAAGTTCACGTCACACCTTTCACCTTGTGACGGTACACCTGTTGCGGAACACTGCCTTATGGCATACTTAGGGTTACCAGTACCTCAATAAATCAACACACATACTTGAAAAGAAAGCTTGCAATGGACATGCAAATCAAACTTGATGCACACATTTGAATTTGCATGTTTCAGCTTTGGCAGCAGCAAAGCTACACTGTCGGCAATATCAGAGATGTTGCACAGATCCTCAAACTATCCGGCATCTTGACTATCGAATGATAGGGTCATACCAATGTTGAATTTAGGCATTAAAGATTTATATTATGTGTACACCAGCTCTTAAGGATGCCATACTAACATTGATATAGGAGGACCGAACGAAAAGTAGCCAAGCAATTACACAACGATTAAATGTGCATCAAAGTATTGTACTATGCATTCTGCACCACAAGGACTTGTATTCATATCACTTCAAATGAGTGCAAGATATTCCTCAGCATGACTGCCTGTAGGACAGTATGAGCGACTAATACTGCGACATATATCAGATAACACAGGTAGCCCTCGGTTTACACTGCAGTTCCATTCCTACAAAAGCCAGTGCAAATTGAATCGATGTAAAATGAACCCATATTTACAGTGAGGTATAGGGTTAGGTTTTACATAAGTGAAAAATAAGCAAATAAGTTTGTTTATTAATACAATATAATACAAAATATGTATATATTTAATTTTTTAAATGTATTTTATAATGAAATAAAGTGAAATGTTTTTATTAAAAAATCTGAAGAAAAACAAATGACATTTCAAAGTTTTGGATGTCTTACATTTTTTGGAAAAAAGTATCCATCTTTAATTGTTTAGATTTTTGTTTTCTTTCAATAAGAAATTCAGAATATGGTCGAATGAATGCAATGATGCTCCTTTTTACATTTGCACTTCGCTCCCAATTGTTGTCTCCCAACATGACATCTCCTTTATTCTTGTACACATGGGTATGTACACATTTAATCTTTTAATATTTTTATTTATTTTAATATTAATTTAATGTAAATGTATACATACCCAATAATATTAAACAAAATAAATAAATATATTCAATAAAAATCTTTGTTTTAACAAACGTACAACATTGCAGCTCAGTAAATATGTCAACACTGAAACGAAAATCAGTCCAGCATGGGGAAGATTGGGGAATTGCACAGCGAAATGAGAAATTGCACAGCGGTGTTATCGTGAATCGTGTAAATTGAGCCAGTGTAAACCGAGGGCTACATGTACTTTCATCCACAGATCTTTTGAACTAACAGAGCAACACTGGTGTGTGAGGGTGTCTGTAACAGCCTTGTTTAGGCATTGGAAAATCTGTATGCTACATTTTCATGCACATACTACTGGAGTATCTACTGGAATATTTAATGCAGTGTTGTGCACCATATTCTTGAAGTACCAATTCCGTTCTTACCAATCATTTCCTGTATAATAGGAATCTAACAAGTCATGCTAAATGCAACCACTGTCCTACTAAAACCGATAACACCCTCCATAGATTGGACGAACATATCAACTTCAAAAAGATTGAGAAACTCCTTTCAGAAAGTTTGGACATCAAAAACAATGGCATCTAAAAAATTAGCGACTGCCTCGTGCAAATTTGTAAAAAAATAAGTTTATGCACCTTAAAAGACTTTAAGACAAAAAGAGTATCAATATTAGGGAGCACCACTGCTCCATCTGCAACTGAAGTCAGGGCAACGTAGCCACATTGCTGCAGCCAAACTGCAACCGAATCAATCTTCTTCTCAAACATCCGACAGCCAAAAACTACTTAGTTATTTTGCACAATGTCCCGCCAGAATTGTTAGATAACATACCCTTCACATTACAATTTCACTACGACGGAGCACCGGCACATTCTTCGTCGATCGTTCACCAGTAGTCGGACACGGGACATCCTAGTCGGTAGACGGGCCACGCCGACGTGGGACGATCTAGTGGGCGACGTAGTCATGCGAACATAGCCCACCGGACTGCCCTATCCAAATCCCATAGACGACTTTTCACGGGGCACGTCGAGACACTTGGTAGACTCTAAGTAAGATCTAACGACCGTGACAAACATAAATGCCACATCATAACACGTACAAAGAATTATTACTCCAGAGGCAGTCACTCGTTCCTCGGTAAACAAGGGTCATCTCAAACACTCGCGATAAAATAACGTCGCTAGAATTCGACAAGTAACTTCTTTCCGTAAGAGTAATTTCCAATTTCCATCTCCTTATGGGAAGCAACATTGTAAACTTTTTGATGCAAACATCCCCGAAAGGCCACATCAAACAGAAAAACAAATAACACATTTCTGGGTCGATTTTCTAAAAAAAATCGCATTAAGCCACTACGGTACGACCGATTCCGACCACTCCACATATATTTACAGAACATATGAATTACAAAATTCCACTTAGAGAAGCAATTAAAAGAAATTTTCAAAATTACAAAACCAAATTTTGTACGCACACAGTCTAACTAGAAGAAAGAAAAAGACTTTCAAACAGAACAACTAAAGCAAGGTCATTTGTGTCCACGCAAGAAATTTTATTCACAAACACTGCCTGGCAGACGTAAGAGATTTCCGTTAAAACACATTCCGACATTACAACACGTGGCAAGATAAAAAAACACAAAATAACGTCAAACTAGAGGCGGATCCGTTTCTCGGCGATTCCGCCCGTACCCAAACATCTCTCCTGGACAGAGTTTTAAAATATTTAATTAAAATTAAGTATATTTGATCAATTTCTCACCGAATTTTCCAAAAACTTACATTCTAACCACATCTAACTTTAAATCAATGAATAAATCACCATTGTGTACATGTGTAAAGGTGTGTCAGTGTAAGAATGCATCAAAGAGGTACATTTTGAAGGAAATTATCGACACAATAAATAGATAAAGTTGAATTAACAGACTTAATTCATACAATTAAAGAATTTAACCGAAATTGATTAATTTGGGAGGGAAATTTAAGTGAATTTCCTCAAAACAGATTTCAATGTTCAAATGGAAGTTTGTGATGACGTGTCAGTTGATTTTTGTGACGAAAATGAAATAAAGTGACGTTGTGCCAGTTGTATTTTTATATTTAGAGATTTATTTAAGTTTTTCTGATGTAAAATAACAACAAAAATATGGAAATGTGTTAAGACTAATTCTAGGCTCGGTATTTTGCTTCTAAATAAGTGACTTACCGTTAAAATCACAAGATAATACGTCGATATTACAACATTTGTCGCCGTTAACGTCATTCTCGTCGAAAAATAATGAGTTAAACTGTTTTTCTTGATAAACATTTGATTTTTAATACATGACCGAACGCCAAACCACAAACCCGGTAATGCCGTTTACTACCGTCAGGTGGCACGTTAACCTTGCCAACTCGGAATTGTTAAATTTAGGATACCGACGTTTATATTTTTTACAATAAATTTAATTATTTTTTTAAAAAATATTCTGTTGTGTATTAATGAGCGTATCGAATCACTACGAAATAATAATATTACATTTTATGTTAAGTTTGTTTTTTTAATTTTTAACGCGATCAGAGTATATACTGTTTATTACCTAAGCCCGTGCGCGACTATACAGACGCGAGCGAGCGAGAATATGCGGCGAGAAGCGATAAATATTAAACCCTGTCAGATATGTTAGAAAATCAGAAATTCGCTCACGCTAGCGAGATTTCTCGCTTCTCGCTTGAGCATGTTTTCCTTTACGAGAACTATATCGCTCGCGACTAAATTCGCGTCTGAATAGTCAGTACATTACAGTAAATATTCTACAAAACTTCTTTATATTAAAATATCTCGTATCGTATTTATATTACCAACATATTTTTCCTTTCGCTTAAACTTCACACATTAATATAGAGTAAGATTTTAATTTCTTCGAGTTTATGTAATAATACGAGCGAGGTTAAGTATTTATATTTCTTTAATATACTGTAGTTTAAAAAAAAGAAAATATAATACTTTAAATACTTTACATAATACTTTACATTTGAAATAAACACTTTTATTAAAATTAGAAATTACTCTACAATTTACTAGAAAAACAATTACCTAATATGTCGGTACGCATTAATCGTGTTAAAGAAAAATATTTAATTTTTGTTATGCCGGGTTCCACCACCAGGGTGCGTCATGTAGTTTGCACACCGGCAACACTGCCATGTGTTCCTCACTTCTTGTTCCCGCTTTCACGCTATATATTCTGTGAAATAAAACCTCTTTTTGTCTTCCAGTTTGGAGTGTCCTTTATCAAATCGATATTTAAATACATTCGTTACATAAATAACTATATTTAATTAACAATTACAATAAACAAAACTTTTATTACAGTACTGTGAGGCTCCTGATTGCGAAGATAAACGAGCGAGTCTCGAATACGATCCCGAAAAATGTAAAGTTAATTAACACGAGTCGGAGACACCGAACTTCGACACTGGCGCTCATATAAAATAGTTGGAAGTAAGCTCGGTGGAGAAAAGGAGAACGTTTGACAAACAAAAGACGAAGAAAAAATTTTTTAACGTTCTAAAACGTCGGATATCTCGGTTCCATCGACAATTCCGGCCGGAGTCGAAGGATGGTGTCGGATAAACCATCCCGGGCTGACCTTTCTCGCTTCCAGAACCGATTTTTCATCTGGGGACGGAACAGAGACCCCCCCGAATTAGTGAACAATAATTAGATCAATTAAATTATACGAAAATAAATATTTAAACAATAAAATAACGGTAATATATAAGGTGATGATAATAAACAATTTGAAATAAAAGAATAAGTAAACAGTAACAATTGATATCCATTTTATTCAAAATATTTTGTAACTTTTTTATAATTGTTTTCTAAACAAATTGAACTTTGGGATATTTTTTTAATAATTTTTTCAAGATTCCAAATTTTAATGCCTTTAAATATAATTGATTTTTGTCTATTGAATAATTTACGTATTGGCAATAGCAAGTTATTTTTAAATCTATTACAATTATCTCGCATTTGTCGGCATTTTAAACACGGCCTAGATTATAGCAAACGTTCAAATTATAATCGTTAATAATAAATCGTTTAAACAGATAAAGAAATCAAATGATTTCGAATGTTTATGATTTCTATCGATGACGGGATAGTGTAGAGTAGATATTGGACTGAAGACGCGCTTCGTATTCTCTCCATTTTATATAACTCGCATCCTTTAGATTATAAATTAGCTGGCTACTGTCTACTGTAGTTTGGCCAAAATTCGTCAAAGCTGTTTTCTCGCGTATTCGTTTATCGATCTGATATTGTTATTGATTTTAATCGGCGATTTAAACGTTAAATATTTGTCTTTACTTTTAACGACTGACAGTTCAGTGGTAGAAATTTTGGACATTTGTTACGTCAATTTCTATTATAATAATAATCAAGTTAAGTATAATTAACCAATCTTAGTTAATTTTTTAAAAATTTCTTTACGTGTTGTTTTAATACCAACGTCAATAAACAAAATATTTTTTTAGTGTTGCTATGAGATATCGTATGTGCTGGGCATTTTTCTATTTACGTATTTACCCATTGAACTTTAATCTTATAGGACAAATTTTCTACAGTATGAAAATTCCCGGTAGTGCTTATATCTCGTTAGGGATTTTCTACTGAAATTATTGATATAAATATTGAATTATACGTCTACTATTCATATTTTTCATAGATTTTATATTTGATGAGTAATGCTTTTTATAGATTCAGTTCTTATGTAAAGTCATCGTGGCTGATAGAGCAGATGAAGCTAACGACGAATGGAAGACAGAAAATGAATCCGTACGATTCGGCTGGTGTTTTCTCGCGGATGTTTTTCTGGTAAATATTTTTTTTTATATTATTCTACGCGTAAATTTTGATAATGAAACTTATGAATTAATCTATCTCACATAAGTTTAAGAGATTCAAAGCCATTCGACAAAAAAGAAAATTTATAAAATCTAAAATGTGTCATCGTGTAAATGAACTTATATTTTATCCCTATATCATAGACAAGAAAATTACTTAAATTAATTACTTTAAAGGCCGTTAAAAATAAAATACAGAAGTTTGTTAATCCGGCACCGGATAATAAGAAATTTTCTTAATTTTTCATAATGCGGCACCATTTTGGTACCGTAGCTGTCGGATTAACAAACTTCTATCTTAATTTATTGTAATTTTCTTTAGTATTAATTTGTAATAAATGGATGGGTAATACTTTCGCCTACTTATACATTCTTTAGTTTTTCAAGTTGCTAATTTTATCGTAAGTAATAAATGATGTTGTGACGAGATAAATCATATTGAAATCAAATATTTAATGTTCCTCGGAGTGACGTTCATGATGTGATTTTTTAATATTTTTTTATTCAAACAGAAAAAATGGGGAAATAGTTTTTACGATATTCGAAATTCAAATAAATGTATTTGGCATATTATTAGTCACGAAAAATGATTTATTTAACGCTGTAACATAAACAAAAGCTTTGAGTTCAAAAGTATATATGCCAAGTTGCGCTGATTAAGATTTAAAGTAAACAACGACCGAAAAAGGAGTTAGAATGACAAGAATAATCAGGTTTTGTCGTAACGAATAAATGTACTTTTTATACGTTATATAACAGCCTATATGAAGTGACGACGTTGGAAAGATAAGTGAATAAATATTTTTGTATACGTAACTTCTTAGGTCAATGAATGTTTCTCATACGATGACGAAAATGGACTGAAATTCGTATTTTGCTAAAAGAATTAAAACATTTTTACTAAAAACTGCTGCGAGTCTCTCATAAATGTGAGTTTTTTAAACAAATTTCTATTATGTTTGCAACACGAAGAATGTCTGATATCAGTCTTGTATTTATAAAATTTACAGCGAGTCGTCACTTTGCTTTAATATATACTACAATTTATATTAAAGCAAAGTAAGGACTGGCTGAATATTTTAATACAGTAGAGCGTCGTTTATCCGAATCAATTGGGAACTGGGGTTGTTCGGGATAACCGATTATGTACGAAAAAATACATTAACCTATCCCGTGTTGAAATTTTTCTCCGTTGCGTGGCGCTTCGCGTTGAAGTTTCGTCGATGTTAAGCCTAATGTAAACTTTTTAAAATAATAATCGTGGCTATTGTATCGTTAAAAATTATTTTTTTATTTTTTACAAACAAAATAAATATATTGAAAAATATAAAAACAAAAAAAATTTATACTTTAGAAGTTATCTAGTATCAAAAACGTTCGATTCAGCATGACATACAGTCCTCAGAAAAACACCACACAAAAGTGACTCTGCTGCCAGCTAAAACACATACACAAACATAAAAAATATTAGAGTAGCCCGAGATGTAGCCAAAGATTGCAGAGCCACAGCACTAGCGAAAATTTAAATTTGCCGACTGGAATGCTTTCGGATAACCGACGTTTCGGATAACCGACGCTCTACTGTATATTATTTACAACTTTTTCAAAATTAAGATCTATTCTCTTTAATACACCACGATTTTTAAGCTTTAATGTGTAAAAACACGTAAATTAAAATATGCTTACCTTACGTTTGGGCATAGCGTTACAAAACAAACGGTCTTTGGACCCTCCAAATTTTTTTTTTTTTTTTTCAAATCTACACGTTTGGAGACCTCCCGAACCCC